CACAGCCACTGACCAGACAGAGGAACAGGACAAGCAGCTCCTTAAATACCTGCCCGTAATGAGTGGCGAGAAAAAGTGCTCCATCATGGGTGATTGCAATCTCAGGGACATTTGCTTGGCGCTTTTAAAAATTAAAGATAATAACTTTCTAACAGAAACAATCTTGCTGTCACCTTGGGGAAATTCTCTGCTTGGCCTCACTCAGAGGGCTGAGAGGAGCTGGAGGCGGGGGAAGAGCTGGTGCCCAGCCAGGGCAGCCTCTTCCAGCCGATTTAATGCCTTCACTGTGACCCAGCTCAGCACAGCAGAGCCAAAACCAGCCAGGACAAAACCAACAGGGAAAATGGAAACTCAGGACAAGGGCAGGTGCTTTCCTGCACCTCCAGCCCTGCCGGGCCCACTGGAAAGGGGGAATGGGAAATTGAATTAAAAAATTAAAAATCAGGGACTTTGATATGAGAAGTAGCAGGCCACACACAACGGGCTGATGGGAGGAGCTGATGGGATCAGTGAAAATAAATCTGCAGCTGAAAGGTCAAGGCAAAACAAGGAGGAGTTCTGTCATTGTGTTGGAAGCAGCTCTCCTGACGTGTAAACCACGACTGGATCATGACAGTGTAACTGTCAGTCATGGAGCAGAAGTGACACATGCTTATTTATTCATCAGATACTTCTGCTCTGTACTTGGAGACAAACAGGCTCCCGGGTTCTGGCAGGAGCTGGGGGATGCTAAACAGCGACTGCAAAGTGTAAACATGGATTGGGGAGGACCAGAGAGCTTCCTCCCAGGAGCATTCAGAGAACGGGCTGAGAAGGCTTCTGAAGAGCTAAAATGGATTTTAATAAACCTTGGCATTCTGTGGGATTTCTAGAAGAAGGGAGAAGCTGGTTTAATGCCAGGAGTGATGCGATGGGCAGTGGCAGCTGTGTCCCCAGCACTGCCCGTGCCTTAGCAGAGGTGGGAACGGGGGAGGAGGCAAATGTCAAACAGCCTCGTGGAAAACAGATTTATCAAACTTCATGAATTTTTCCTGATATAGTTAGAAATTCAGTTGATAAAGGAAGTCAGTAACATAATACATTTAGGAGTTCCACAGGGTATTTGATTTAGCTCTCCTGAAGAAGTTAAAGACCTGTATTATGCAGAATCAACAGCGCTTTATTAGCAGGGCTGGGAGCTCCCAGGGACAGTCCCTCCATCCAAGGGATGCTCCTGCACAGGATTGCCTGTTACGAGGACAGAGCTGAGCTACATCTTCATTGAGAGTATTGAATAAAACATGAAATAATTGGGAGTAAACCAGGGAAATGGCAGAGAAAAGAGTGATGGGAATATTGAGGAATGAGGGAGGTGGGCCAGGCAGACTTGGGCAGCTCGGGCTCGTTCAGCCATGGCCCAAGGACTGCGAGGGAGGAACCAGGAGAGCGAGCTCCAGCTGGGGGCTGGGGGATGCTGCCCAGTCCCACCGGATGGGCTGGGGGTCCCACCCCTCTGGGGACTCCCCGTGAGGGGCTCAGTGACCCCAGTGTGCAGCCAGACTCGCAGCAGGCAGCACAAGGACAGACAGCCCCCGTGGCCACGGCAGACCCGGGTACCTGGGATTGTTTCTTGTGTTCAGGGGGAGCTGGAGGAGCTCATGGGCTCTCCAGCGGAACCCCCGGCCCAGGGACACGGCTGCTCACCTGGGTGAGCATGCAGGAGTGACATCCACCCTCTGCTGAGCTGCAGGAGCTGCAGGAGCTGCAGGCCAACTCCAGAAAGGACTGGGCAGGGTCCTGGGGGCTGCGGGGTCAGCTGGTGGCTCCTGCAATGCTGTGTGTAAATCCAGACAGGATCATCCCAAAGGACCAGCCCTGAGAGCTCCCCAGGCTCTGCAGGGAGGAACTGCCACTGGCAAAGGCTGGAGCTGCTCTGGGGGACACTGGAGGGGCCAGGATGGGCCCAAGGGGGACAGCTCTGGGACATGAGATGTCTGTGTCCCCTGCAAAACACCCACATCCCACCCCAGAGGAGTGCAGGATGCTGAGCATCCTCTGTGAGGGAGGCAGGCAGAGCAACGCTTGGCCTCCTCCAGAAATGACAGAGCACTTTATTCTGATGAGGGAAATGAAGGAGGAAAGGAAAAGTACCACATCGCCTTAAAATATGGTATTTTGAGCAGCCTTGGCCAAATCCTCCTGCTCCTTCTGCCTGTTTCAGATCCGCATGATGCCATGGAGCCAGTCCCAATCTACACCACGCAGCAGGGAGGACACGGAGCCTCCCTGCATTTAATGATGCTGCATTTAATGATGCCGAATTTAATTAAGTTTGATGAAAACCAAAGTTCTGTTACTTTCTTGAAAGCACCACTAGCCTGAGCAGCTATTTCTCAACTTCAGCTCCCTGCCCGAAGCGCCGTGTGCTTCCCTCCCTTCCTACTGACACAGCAGGCACACAGGACAACAAGTGACACTGGGACAGCCACGGGGGACACACACGGGCCAGCGCCGCTCACACCTGAGCCGGACACACGGGGGACACCTGCCGAGCGTTCACACCTTGCAAAAGCAACAACCAGCATCCAAAGGCTGCGATTCCAGGCAGCCTACCGCGGCCCAGCCGGCTGGGAACACCTGCCCGGGCTCCAGCTACTGAGTCAACGCTAATTTGTGTTTCCCAGCGTGGGTGGCTCTCCATGGGTCTGCGGCGGCTCCATTCAGCATTTATCGCTCTCGCCGAAGGGCTTGTGACGCTCACGTGGCGCTGGCTCCCACGCAGGCGCTGCTGTGCCGGGGATGCTCGGGGGATGCTCGGGGCCGCTCCCGTCGGGCTGAGCCCCGGCCGGGCCCCGGCGCGATTCCTGCCCCGGCACACGCGTCCAGCCCCCGCCGGCGGCGGGAAGTTCAGGGCCGAGGCGGCTCCCGAGGGGCAGGGAGCTCCGCTCGGTGCTGAAAGCATTTGTGCACCGCGGGAGCGGCGGCAGACCGCGCTGGGTCCGGGCGCGGGGATGGAGCCTCTGTCCCTGCCCAGCCGCACAGCGAGCAGGGCAGCAGGGAACAAGGCCCAAGGGTCGCAATGCTGGCCCTGCCGCACGTAAGGGGTCCGGGCTGTGCCCCCAGCGCTGCCCGGGCTGCGGGGCTGCTCAGCCCCCGCCCCAGCACGCTCCTTCCCCCGCACGGCTCCTGAGCCCTGCGCGGCTCACTGGGGAAGCTTTCCCTTGCCAGCACCGCACGGGTTAACAGCCTGCGAGGCGCCTTCCCCTGCAGAATTCGGGAAGGTGATAAGCAGCCCCAGCACGTCCCCCCAGCACCATCACAGCCCCACATGCTCCCCCGGGCACGGGCTGGGACCGTCCCTGTCCCCGCAGCCCCGCTGCCACCCGCAGCGCGCAGGGACGGCGGAGCCGGGCCCCGCACGAGGCCCGGGGGTGCCGCAGGTACGGGAACGGCTCCACTCCGCTCCGCTCCGCTCCGCTCCACTCCACTCCACTCCACTCCACTCCATTGGCCGCCGATTCTCTCTCCATTCCCTCTCCACTCCATTCCCACTCCATTCCCACTCCCACTCCACTCCCGCAGCTCCCAGAGCACCAGCGTGGGGCAGGATGTGGAACAGGGAGTGCTGAGCCCGTGCCCCGCTGCTCCCAGCCCCGTGCCCAGGCTCAGGCTGGAGGGCTGGGATCCAGCTCTGCCCTGGCACTGCCAAGCCCTTTGCCCAGTGAGCTGTGCCCAGGGCAGCGGGGCCTCTCTGGCTCCTTCCAAAGCAGTGATTGATCACAGCGAGGGAAACATGAAACATTGGTTGGGGAAAAAAAAATACAGGTAGCAAACCAAAGAATTTTGGATATTACTCATGCCTCCACTGATCCCATCTTTCACATCCCTGGCTCCTGACTCCTTGGCTCCCTGAGCCCAAGAGGGGAGACAGATTATCTCAAATTATTTATTATGGAATTAGAGCGTGATCCAAACCCTCCTTGAATCAATAAGAAAGCTCTGACTGACTTCACCGGGCTTAGGACCGAGCAGCAGAACAGACAGGGTATTTCTGCATCCGTGACTCACCGAGAACTTTCCAACGTGGAGGAGCAGCTCAGCGCCTGCCCCCGCCGCCGGAGGGTCGCCCCGGGTCTGGGGCGGTCTGACAGGGCCAGGGCCCCTCAGGGCAGTGGGGCAGGTTCCCCTGGGCACAGGGACACCCTCTGCTGCCACTCACTGTCAGAGGTAGGGCCCAGGGTGATGCCGCCGGCCATTCATTGCTGCGCAGGTACCAGCACCTGGCTCTGCTAAAGCTCATCTCTACCCACAGCCTGTGGCTGCTCGGAAACACCCCGACCAGCAGCTCTGGGGCGAAACTGCCCCAAATCGTGGCCTGTGCTGCAGGAGGGCGGCAGCCGCTGGGGCCTCGCCAGGCAGGCGCTGCTGCGGGAGGGAAGCAGCGGGGCGAAGCGGCGAGGCCGGGCAGGCAGGAGGGGCAGCCGTGGTGGGGCAGCCCCGCTGTGGCACTGCCCAGCCCTGGGGCAGCAGCAGCCACCCTGCCCCGCGGTGCTGCTGGCAGGGAAGGGGCTGGCGCTGGAGCTGGGCTCGGTGATGGAAGCGCCGGGTGCGGTGCGTTCCCCCCGGTGACAGTGACGCGGGGCCGGCGGAGCCTCGGAGAGGGACAGCGGCCGCGGGCCTCTCACTCCCGCATTCCTGGCCAGGAGAGGGACCTGTGGCCCCTCAGCCCGGAGCTCGCCGGGAGGGCACAGCGCGTCCGCCGCCAGCGCCGGTGCCCAGCGCGGGGGGAGCCGCAGAGCCGCTGCCCCCGGCCCCCCTGAGGTTCCACCTGGTGCCACCGCGAGTGCCCGGGGAGGGGTGCGGAAGGCGGCGGCGGGGAGCGGCGGGGAGCGGCGGGGCCGCCGGGCCAGGGATGCTCGCATGGCCGGGGGATGCGCCGCTCGCCGGGGGCCCGGATCTGGGGTGGGGGGTCCCGCGATGCAACCCTTCCCCCGAAGTTTTGGGGCCGCGGGGGTCGGTACCTTCCAGGCAGCACGTCCTCCAGAGCCCCGAGTGGGTCATCACCTCCTCGTTCTTGCGGCTCGTGTCGTTGTCGCTCATGGACTTAGTCCTGCACACGCCGCGCGAGTAGAGCCAGTAGTCGGTGCCCACGGCGATGGTCATCAGGCTGAAGGCTGCGAAGGCTCCCACCGTGGTGACGAGCATCTGGACGCCTCTGTCACACATCCTCATGCTGCTTCATCCTCCGGCGGCGGCTCGCAGGGGAAGGGCCGGCGCCGCCGCCCGCCGCCCGCCGCCTCATGCCCCCGCGGGCGGCGGAGAGCCGGGCCCCCGCGGCGGCGCGGAGCGGATCTCTTAGAGATGATGTTTTTCTGCTTAAATGATGGATAATTGGGATTTTCCATGGAAATGTTGGAATTTAAAGATAAAATATGGGGCAAAAAAGCTGGAGCTGCTTTTCCATTTGCCCTCATGTGGGGCTGGATTTTGAGGATTTTGGGATAAAATGGAGCAGCCACAGGATGGAGAAAAAATTCCTTGTGGAATTGGAGACCCAACCCCAAAAGCATCCCGAAAAATTCCCAGTTTTTCCTCCAAAAGGCTCTTCCCACCCAATATTCTGGGAAATTTTCTCCCTGCAACCAGAGCTCATCTTGGAATGGGCACTTTGTACTTTATTCCCAACCCTCGGTGGGATTCCCAAATTTCCTGGTGCCATTCCTGGATTAAAATGATTCCTAAGATTTTCCTGAAGTGGGAGAGAGGAATAAATCCTGATTTTTTTATATTAAACCTTTTGTTTTTGTTTTTGTGGGGGGAATGGGCAGAGCGTGGATCACCCTCCACTTCCATGAGCTCAGCAAAAAATCCTGGAATATTTTGGGGTTGGAAGTGGTGACTTTTAAAGGATTTGAGGGGAAAAAGGTGGCAGGAATTTTTGTGTTTGGAGAAGGATCTGTTCCAAGGGATGGAAATCCATGGAATTCGGGTTGGGAAGGGCTTAAATCCCATCCATTCCCAGTTCTTCAGGGCTGGCCCATCAGAATTCCTCCTGGAATTCCTCATGTTTCCCATTCCCCATTTTCCCAGATCTTCCCATCCATCCCTCATTCTTCAGGCTGGAATAATCCTGGAGGAAAATCTGGGATTTTATGGCTCTTTTTCCATTTGGTTTTTCAGGTACCACCTGGAATTCCCATCCCGAGGTGAGTCCAGCTGGGAAGGGTTGGAGCGGGGGATGTTCCGTGCGCCAAATTCCCAGGAAAAAGTCTTTATGGATGTGGGGGGCAGGTCTTGGGGTGGGAAAATTCCTCACCAGGAATCTCATCCCGGAGAACAAATCCCACAATTTCTGGGGCGCTGGCATCGATTCCCAGGCTGAGAAGTTTTCCAGAAACTCCAGGAATTTAGGAATGTTTGGGAAGCTTGGAAAGGGCAGCATATTCCCATGGAGAATTGATTGGGAGAAAAGATTCTGGGGGGGTCCCTCAACTTCCCTGAGCTTGGAGTGGGAGCAGAGTCCAGGATCAGGATGGGAATTTTCCGGGAATGACCATTCCTTGTTAAAAATTCAGGAAATTTTGGCTTTGCTCCTCAATTTCTCCATCGTGGGAGTGAGGATTTGAACTTCCTGGGATTCCTGAGGATCAGCAGGAGGGAATTCTGGATCTCTGGGAAATTGGTGGGTGTGGGGCCTCTCAGAGCTGAGCTGGAGCTCCTTCGGCTCTGCTGGATCCAGGGATGGAATTCCCGATTCAGCGCCTTGGGAGCAGCACAGGGATTGGTGGATTTGTGGTTTTTCCTTAAAAAATGGTTGGGATCCGTGGGGATCTCCCAGAGTTACACCAAGGTGGGAGCTACTGGAATAAACCCCTTTCCAGCATTCCAACTCCTCCAATCCTTTACTCCAGGAATTAAACCCGTTCCCAGCATTCCAATTCCTCTGATCCTTTATTCCAGGAATAAAATCCCTTCCTGGCATTCCGGCTCCTCCAGTCCTTTACTCCAGGAATAAATCCCTTCCCAGCATTCCGGCTCCTCTGATCCCTCTTTTCCCCAGGAATAAATTCCAGCGGTTCCCTGCCCGCTCAGGGCTCGCTTCCAGCCCCTCCTGGAACGGCCAGGAACGCAGCAGCCTCGCAATTCCCGCCGGGAACGGCGATACCCCTTTTCAATCAGAGCCTCGGAGCTTTAATTGCTTCCCAAGCATTGTTTCCCCATGAATCCAGCATCTGGCACCCTTTGGAAAAGTCCAACGGACAGCTGGGCCGAAAATTAACAAAAAAATAGGAGGGAGGGAAGATCCGAGCGCATCAAAGGCTCCAAATGAGGTTTTTAAACCAGGAAGGTTCATGGAATTTCAAGGACGGGGGGCAGCGGGGGGCGGGACCCGCGGGGGGCTGCGCCGCCGGGACACCGCCCCCCGCCCGCTCCGACCGGCCGGCACCGGGGGGACGGCCACCGGCACCGGGGGGACGGGGACCGGGACGGGAAAGCCACCCCGGGGCGGGGACCGTGAGTGCCCCGGGAAGCCCACCCCGGGGTGCTGGGATCGGGACTGCCCCGGGAGAAGGGGAGAGAGACCCTGCAAGAAATCCCGGACTGGGCGGGGGGATCCCAGCGCTGGGTGCCGGGACCGAGCGGGGACCGGGGGACCGAGACCGCCCCGGGGACCACCGGGATTCAGGGAGCGGAGCGGGACTGTCCTGGGACACGGACCGGGTGGAAACCCCCTCGAAGTGCCAGTGCCACCCAGGGACAGTCACCCACCCACGCCAGCCCCCGGCACGGGGCCGCTCGGTTCCCTGAGTGCCCCCAGCTCGGTGCCTGAGCTGCTGCACCGGTACCGGGCACCGCTGGCACTGGGACGAGGGGCTGGGGGCACACACCCACACAGCGGACCCCAGGCAGGGCACAGCGCCTGCCCACGCTGGCACGGAGCTGTCCCTGCCCCGGCAAGCCGGAGTTTATCCCTGCGCAGGAGCTGGTTCAGCCTGAGCGTCCCTCGTACCCACAAGCCACTCCTGCACCATTCCCAGCAGTTAACCCCCCTGCCCTCTCCCTCTCGCTGTCTCCTCATCTCCCTGAAACATCCCTCAGCCGGTTGGATGAGCCCATGACTCACGCGACCTTTCCAGCAAGCCCTAGAATACACTTACCTCTGGAATTCACGCTCCTGTGAGGGCCACGCTGAGACGGGAAAGCGACTGATTTACACGGTGCCGTGTGCTTCCCAGCCCTCATCTGCATGCACTCACATGGAAATACTAGTTATTTACTCCAAAAAGGCAAACAGAGAATTATGAAGGTACTGAGAAATTAAGAATGCGAGAATTAAGTGGCTCCTCGACCTGCAATCACGGTTTGTGCGGCTCCCCAGGCAGGGCACGCTGATTGCTGCCCCGCCGCGTCCCTCCCCAGCTTCCCGCTGGCTCCTGGCTGTGGATCACCCTGCTTCATTCCCTGCTTCCCCACGGGCCCCGTGCCTGGTTCCCAGCTCAGGCTGGAGGCGGTGCAGCTCTGCCCAGGCTCTCTGGGCGCACAGCACCAGCTCCTGCTCCCCAGCGCTTCCATCTGCAGAGTGGCAGAGCTGGCAGCTGGGAGGGGACACAGCCCTCTGAGGAGTGCCAGCATGGGGAAACAGGGGCTGGGGTCAGCAGCAGCCACCCATCCCCGCTGCATCTTCTGGGCATTTTTTGAGGAGGGGTTGTTGCTTCTCAGTTTTGGGGAGTGGCACTGGCAGAGGCACACGTCAGTTCCCAGGTCACACCTTGGTGTCACAGACTGGACACCAGGATGAGCCCTGGGCACTCCCGATATCCAATATGAATCTCTCTTTTAATTTGTAACCATTCCCTCTTGTCCTGTCACTGCCAGCCCGTGCACAAAGTTCCTCTCCGTGGTTTTCCCAAACCCCTGAGCAATCCCGTGGGCGCCAGGCAGGTGGCTCAGGGCACGGCACAGGGAAAGGCCAGGCTCTGTGGGACAGGGAAAGGCCAGGCTCTGTGGGACAGGGAAAGGCCAGGCTCTGTGGGACACCTGCCCGGTGGCAGCCCTGCTCCTGGCAGCCCTGCCGCCCCTGCCCGGCCCCGTCAGCAGCGCCTGACGGCAGCGCCCTGCCCGGCCCCCGGCTGCGCAGAGGCAGCAAAGATATCTCCCTCCCACAGCTGAGGGGCTGCAAATTGCGTTGTGAGTGGGGGATTTTGCAGCCTTAATTGTGTTATTTTAACACAGCGTGTGTAGGTGTGAGCAGAGTGCACATGTACCGTTTCCTAGGCTTTGAACAAAGCGAGCTCCAACAGAAGCAAAGTCCATGTCAGATCGTGTTGGCCCCTGTGGGGCTGGAGGTGGGGACACCCCTGCACCCCTCTCACTGCTCCATGAATGGGGTGTCAGCTCCAGGAGCGAGCTGGGAGCTCTGGCCTCCCCAGGGGTTCACTAAACTTTGGGACCAATGAGAATTTGGTGACCTTGGTATCCTGCTCTGCAGGGTATCAAACTGCAGGGTGACAGCCTGGCACCCTGACCAGGGCAGCCTGGGCTCCTCCAGCTCCAGCTCCAGCTCCAGCTCCTGTTTCCTGCCCTGTCCATCATCATCCTCCTGCTCCTGGACCTGGACCCTATCATGCTAGGCAAATTAGAAACAAATTGAAAAATCCAGCCCACGCTGCAAAGATTGTACAACTCTTGCAAGAAAAAAGCTGTCCTCGCAGGCAAAAATGTCCTAACCCGAGATCAGTTAGGCTTTGTCCTCCCAAATCCAGCGATGAAAGCTCTGCTGCATTTAAATTGGCAAAGTGACAGGAAGTAAGTAGTCAGAATAATCCCTAGCTGGATTAGGTTTTTCCTTGAAGGAAGAGAGGCTGAGACAAGGCGAGTTTGGGTCATTAGCGATGCAGGGAGAGGCTCCAGCCCTGCCCAGCCTTCACTTCATTCTCCTGCTCCTGGGGGCTGCGAGGGGATAAGGACTCCAGAGCCTTGGGCACATGTGTTCATCCTTCCCCACTCCTACGAGGGGATTATTTATATCTGCACCACTTTGGGAGCGCTGGCTGCAATCCCCTGGCTCCAGCAGGACTCCAGTGGTGAGGCTGGGCTGTCCCTGTGCGATGAGCTGCCAGGGGTGCCAGCTGTGCCACACGTGCCAGGCTGCAGGGCCATGGCACGAGCTGGCTCGGTGCAAGCTGGTGCAATTCCCCACCAGCTCTGCTCTCCCTGCTGGATTTCCGACA